ATAAGGATGAGCATGGTAGGAGTAGTATAACTCATGATGTGCTATTTTCTGTGAAGGTTGCCATTTTCCATTTAGTGATTTGGTTAAGTTTAAAGTTGTTTTAGGTGCTTAGGTTGATTGGTGTTGTTTGGGTGGGTAATTTGACAAGATAGATGAGTTGTAAATAAGAGGATTGGGTCGTAGAATGTGTTGAACATGTCGTACGTTGTGGAATTGTTGATCATGCTATTTTATGTTGTTGATGATGAAATGCTACGCTGTATTGGATACATATGTATGTGCTGATATTGGTGTGTTGCGCTGAGCGCGGCCCTTGTCGCGCTGGGCGTGAGACTCCTTGGGAGTCTCTACCCTGTGGGCGCTGGGCGCGAGACCAATGGGAGGTCTCTGCCTTCCCCGCGCTGGGCGCGGGTATGGGCATGCCGGGCGCGCGAGACTCCTGGGAATCTCTGTCTGGCATGCGCTGGGCGTGTGTGAGCCTTGGGCTCTCTGGCTGAGCCCCTTTCTGTTTCAACTTCTCTGTTCTGGTTTTTCTTAACAGTTGTATTCTCATTTTCGGATCAAATTAGACTACACAAGAAAATGGAAAATCCTTACAATAAAAGAAAATGCCTTATGTACAAATTTTGCTCATCTAATCTATCTCAGTCTCCATTAGCATGATTTACAGCTCATTCAAGTGAGAGGTGACATTTAAGAATTCATCCTCCTGGCATGGAATTGTGAGACCACCAGTTGGATGATCATATCCGAATTCTTCTTCAGCTTGACTTAGTAATTGTTGAAATAAAGGTTGGTTCAAGTATGATACTGGAATCACAAACCGTCTCCTCTTATCTCCAACATAGACTACAAGCTAGCCTTTTGGGACTTCAAGTTCCTTGCAAGTTGCTTTGGCAGCAAAAAATGATGCCTGTGTAGTAATACCTGGTATGCGGAAACCCATTGTTTTTTGTTGCTCCACAAACAAATAATTTTCTGAGTGGTGCCAAAGAACTTGTATTTGAAAGAAATATTTAAATTCTGATGCTTCGGGATGCAAATGACTTGCGTTGCTTGAGGACACAAGAAATAGTGTATATATAGTCACTAGTCTGCAACTGCAATCCAATTTTTCCATGACTGATTTTTGACAGGTCTATGATGGGGTCTAGGACTAGTAGGGACCAGGGATCACATGGTATTGTCTTGGAGTTCTCTTTCAGGGATTAGGAAGATAAAATAGGTGCATATGCATACCATACCCTCCACGTTCCCCGTCCCCACCTTCTGAGATAATGACCAACAGATTTACCCACTTGAAATTAAATACATCAGCAAAGGTAAAACCTAATTCTTGTTCATTCATTGTTCACTAACTACTTTAATAATACACATGTAGACATACTTTAGACATATCACGTGTTTCTAAAATAAGATGACAATGATATTGATATACATCTACCGCGTGCCAACTAATTAATATCGCGGTTAGATAAGCAGCCTATATAAACATTGAGGCTTGGGGAGAGTTGGTTGATAGCTCTGAAACAGTGGAGATCAGAAGAGAACCAACATTTTACGCATGATCATGAGAAACTGTATATATGTACGTCAAATTCTAAGCAACACAGCATGAAATATGCATAAATGAAGTTTCGAGTCCCCACCACCCTCAGTAAGTGTTATTCTGACTCAATTAGGCTTTCTTTTTCATAGATACAGAAGGTGGGACTTGCATTATCTACTATAACATACGTTGATTCTTGAGATAAGTTCTCTAAGACAACACCATATGCCATGTCTCTCATTTGGTCCCTTGACTCCTATCTCACATCTCTACTTCACCAATAATTCAAGTAGCCAATGGTTTCTTACATATCCTTTCATCTATATATATTAAAGCATTTAGAACCAACACATATCATTCACATCCTAAAGAGTTCAAAATTCAAACCATATTTTCAAGACTTTTTTAAAGCATTCTCTTATCAAGTCTCTTGATCAATACAACAATGGGTTTTCGTTTTCCTGGTATCAGAAAGGCATTATTTTCTGCCAACCAAGCATCTTCAAGATTGGTGGATGCACCAAAGGGCTACCTTGCAGTCTATGTTGGAGAGAAAATGAAACGGTCCATGATCCCTGTGTCATACTTAAACCAACCTTTATTCCAAGACTTGTTGAGTCGAGCTGAGGAAGAGTTTGGATATGATCATCCCATGGGTGGCCTCACAATTCCTTGCAGCGAAGATGTTTTCCAACATATAACTTCTTGCTTGAGTGGACTATAAATCTCACTTTAGGAGGCTGACATAGATTAGTAGTGACATTTTTGTACAATAGGCTTCTTCTCAACTTGTAAAGATCTCCCTTTCTCAAGAAATACGGAAAAGAATGACCATCAGATTGACAAAATCACTGTCATTTTTTTTATGAGCAATGAGAGTTAATTCAACTTGTCACGTATCTTGTGTGTTTTCTGTTTATTAGTTACAATGTTCCCTTCTCCCTGGATGAGCAAGGATAATTGCAGTAAAAAAACTAAACTTTGTTCTAATAAATTTAAAAGCAAGAACTGAATATGTGATTCCTAACAACGGCAGAGGAAAAGTATTTTAATATTTTTCCCAAGACCAAAGACAAAGTAAAATAATTTATAATAAATATACCAATAAAATAAAAATTGAGGTGCCAAAGCCGAAATCACCCATGAAACTGTTAGGCCATGAGTAATAGAACAACTTTTTGCTAATCAAAGAATCGGTCTACATCAGGAAATCAACATTCTTATTTTTTTTACCATAATTGACAATATCTTCTTTTGCTGATGGGAAATTTGAGGCAAACTATAGTAGTAATAATCCATGTATTGCTGCCTAAGAAAAGGCTAATAATCCACATGATGGGGCTGCTTGTTTGGGATAAGGGAAGAATTAAAGACCCTGGAAAATGATTTTGCAGCGTTGATATATAGAATAGGAAGAAGAACCTAGTTAACAATTACTTTGTGGTGCTGAAAGCAGTAAATAGCTACTTGAGAGACATATATAAAAGAACCAAGTAACAATTGGCTAATACTAAGATTCAATTGAAAACAAAATAAAATTAGCTATCTTTTTATTGAATTTAGTTGAAAATGTAGAGTTAGCAGTTTATTTAAATTAGATGCATTAAGAATTATTTTATTCAAATTAATACATTTTTAGCTAATTTCTTATTTAATAATTGCTTTCTATTATCATAATTTCTTATTTAAAAAATATTTAATTCATGAACCTTTCTCTTTTTCTGCGACATCAGGAAGATAATTGATTTACAAATGAAATAATTCTTGTTTAGTTTTTCCCTTTCCAGGATCAAGAAAAGAATTTTCAATTTTATCATTTATTGATTCTAAACTGAATTCAGCTTGTTAGTGCCTTCGATTTTCAGATTAAGAAATGAGAAGAAAATGTAAGAAAAAGGTTCATGTTCCTATTCAGATGAACATTTTGTACACTTACCCAAGATAACAAAAATAAGGAGAAGAATATTTTCAAGTTTTAAGAAACTCTAACAAAAATGTGTCAAGTATGGTATTACGCTATATATACATCAGTTTCAACTTCATTGGATTAGCACCTATTCAAGCCAGAAATGGTATCACAGAACACAAGGAATTGTGAGACCGGTCATTGGATGGTCATACCCATAATTCTTCCACAGGGTTGGTTCAAGCATGATATCGGGATCACAAATAGGTTCATTTTCTCTCTGAAAGGGTTATTTTATGATATTTATCTGAGAGGATATTTTATGAAGGTTATTACACAAACATACTCCTCTCACAATAGGCCCTCACGGTTTTGCTTATCCTGCTCTCAAACAAGGGACCTAACCTTTCATGCAGCGGTATCGCAGTTTTTTATGGGGGTTATTGGTTGTCACCGAATCCAACCTGCGGCTCTGATACCACTGATGGGGTTATTTCCTCTCAATCATTGAAGTATGCTTGTATTATATAAGTTGTTATTTGTTGTGTTATTTTATCGATGTGGGACTTGTTTGTATCCCAACACTCTCCAACATATACTGCAAGGTAGCCCTTTGGCACATCCTCGCCTTTTGAAGATGCTTGGTTTGCAGCAAAGGATGCCTTTCTGAAACCAGGTAAACGGAAACCCATTTTTGTGTGTGTTGAGACTTGGGATAAAAATGTTGTGAAAAAAGAGTAAATAAGATGCAAGTTTTTGAACTTCAAATGCCTTAGGGTGTGAATAATTTTTGTTGACCTAAATTCTTGCAGCCATGAATATATATAGATGAAAGATTTTGTAAGAAATTGTTGTCTACATGAATGATTGAGGTGGAGGGATATGAGATCATGGGACCAACAGTGAGACAAGGGCATGGTGTTGCCTTGGAGGACTTTCTCAAGGATTACCGTAACATGCTACAGTAATTAATACAGGCCCCTCCTTCTGGTGTGAAGCCACTTGAAATAAAACAGACGTTATCAATTCATTAGCTAGAAATTACTTTCCAGCTGTACTTCAACATTCGGCTGCATTGTCAATCTTGAGAAAGCATGTCCAAAGCATGTTTACAAAATTATGGAATACTAATTACTGGATGAGTAAACGTTTCATTTGGTTACAAGTGGAGGTTTTATGTGAGCCATTATCTGATAAGGTGGGGTTACACACGTCTATACAACATTATCATTGTTAGAGGCATTGAAGACAACACCTCGTGATATCTCATATGCATGCCCTTCATCCTAGAACAATCATTTTCTGCTAATAGGAATCTTTAAAACTATATATAAACTATCCTTTGCCTTCACAAACACCACAATCCATTGGCATCCTCAAGCCTCAACACTTGGGGAAATTTGAGATTGTTCTTCTTCCTTCATACAAACACAAAAAAATGGGTTTCCGTTTTGCTGCTATTCGACGGGCATCATTCACAGCCCGCAAAGCAGCTTCAAAATCAGTAGAAGTCCCAAAGGGCTATCTTGCAGTGTATGTTGGAGAGAAACAGAAGCGGTTTATGATTCCCATATCATACTTGAATCAACCTTCATTCCAAGACTTACTGGGTCAAGCTGAGGAAGAGTTTGGATATGATCATCCCATGGGTGGCCTCACAATTCCCTGCAGTGAAGATATCTTCCAACATATAACTTCTCACTTGAATGGACAATAAATCTCATGCTGTAGGACACTGACAAAGATTAGCAGAGAAATTTTGTACAATAGACATCTCTACTTGTAATGACTGTTACAAACTTTTGAGTAATGACAATAAATTCAATTACTAAGTGTCTATGTTTATTAATTACAACGTTTACTTCACTTTGCAATTAGAACCTCGTAGTCAGTTTTAGGAGGTTGAAAAAACTTTATTGTTCTCATGAATTCCACAGCATAACAGCCCACATGCTTCACAATCCGGACAGAGATAATAGTATTTTGCTGGGACCTAAGAGAAGCATCAATTTAATCATTTAAGACGTGATTGAAAAATTTTAAAGTTTTTTATGCATAGTTAAAATTACAATTCATGGCCCCAGTCATATATGCACGAGGTGCTGCCCCTACCATGAAATTGCATATTCATTTGATGTATGGCTAAGTTTATATATACCTGTAGATTCTCTTATTTTTTCACTGAAAGATTTATCAATAAGCCATGTGTTAAAATTACCAAAATCTGATGATCTGTACATTTCACTATTTCAGTGCTAATAATGCTGTACAGCTGAAGGCCAATCACAGTTCCTCTAAAGATTTTCTCATTGCTTAACAAGCACAGTGACCAAAATGGAAAATATTAATATAAAAAATAAAAAAGGAAAATGTTGACCACTAACTTGGAGACGGTTATTTGCAAATATAAGAGTCATTCACCTGTGGCAATATTTGCATCCAGGAATGGAAGTAGAAGTTTATAGTGATTTTTTCATCCCTGTTGTTAATGACAGTCAAGATAAAGGGAAAATGAAAGAGGGTTACATCACTTACAACAATGTTTCAATCTCCAATTAAATTGTATGTCGCGTTGTACTTTCCGTACCCTTCACAAGGACGAGTGGTGCAAGTTGTTATAATAATAAAGTCTTGCATTGATTTTGACTGGAGACAATATTGTGGCGAGCATCCATTGAATAGAATTATAGCTCCTATCAGACAGCTAATATGCAGATAATTATATCAACAGTGTTAGTCAATTCTTTTAGCTGTCATACAGCCATTGTAACAATGCATACTTTATTATGACCAATCCATAAAGTGACCAAGAGATATGTGTGAGAAAGTGAAAATGTGTGATGTGTAGAACATTTCTTGAACACAAGAAGCAGCACATTACATTGGTTAAATAATAATTAAATTTCTTGCTGTACAAATCTCTTCCATTTTTAAGCAATAACTGTGTTTGTGACTCTTCTATGTACCAAGTAGGTCGTTAACTCTAAAATCTTTAGTAATTATTGATAAATCACCAATTAGACAACACCACATGGTTCGTGAAACCTTGTCTCTCACATAGTCAATTAACCATTCAATTTTGTAAAGAAGATTGTCCACACAGACGCTATATATACTCGTTATTCGCTCTCAACTAAAGCATCAAGCTTAAAATATTTGTTTGACATACAAGTTCTTCGAGATCACTTTATAGTTGTGTGTGGAGTAACGAACAAGAAAGAGAAACCATGGGTTTTCGTTTACTTGGTGTCAGAAGAGCAAGACAAGCAGCATCGAAGGGTGAGGAGGTCCCAAAAGGGTATCTTGCAGTGTATGTTGGAGAAATAATGAAGCGGTTCATAATTCCAATTGGATACTTGAACCAACCTTCATTTCAGGACTTGTTAGGCAAAGCAGAAGAAGAATTTGGATACCATCTTCCTATGGGTGGTCTTGCAATTCCTTGCAGAGAAGAAGTCTTCTTAAGTATCATGTCAGTTATCTCTTGAATAGTTCTGAACAAAGATGCTGACATAGATTATTATTTAGTTCAAACAAACAATTTTGTAGACTTTTTTCCCTTTGCTTTCATGCAAACATGGAAAATGTAAAGCAACAAAAGTTAAAAAGTTATTAGTTATTAGTTTCATTGATTAGTTTATTGAAAGATCTTTTGTTGAGGAATTTATATATATATGCACACTCATGGTGTTTGAGGAATTGTTTTGTTGTTGCATACAACCATACCATTCACCAATTGCCTTTTCTTTTTTGTTGCAACACTGTTAACTGTTAAGGCTTTCACTTCGTCACGTTTATTCGTCCCACTAGTTCAGTCTTCTTGATTTTTCATGGCATGGTCTGATTCTTCTAAAGGACTATCACAGTCACACAGCCTAAGGGTCTAACCTTGTATGTTGAAACCCATCCTCTCTCCTCTGGGTTCCGTTCAAATTTAGAAGCTCAAGCTCCTTTCTTCTTCGGGTCCAGATTAAGTTGTGATTTATCAAATGTCTTCTTCTGTCATTGAATACTAATGTTTTTTGTAAAGTATACATGTCATGCAAAAAGGTGTGACATGTTCAATTATAAGTCAATAAACTATAAGTGCAAAAATTAGTTATGCTAAAAAAGATCATTCGATTTTAAACATCAATTATTATATAGTCCAAGCAGAGAGTAGCTCTGCTGGCTAATTCGTAAGTTTCCCAGATATCAAAATAATGTGAAATTACACTGAAATTAGTTTAAAACACTAGACCATTGAATTTTAAATCATTGGTCGATGCTCTATCTAATTATGAAAGGTCTTTTATTTCAGTTTAGGTTTTCAGAGTCCAGCCATAAAATATAGCAACATATCATGTGCATGAGCAGCAAGACTCCTACGTAACAATCCATATAGGCTGGATTTATGGATGACCCCGTTGAATCATTAGATTTAACATTAGCTTCTGGAAATGAAGTAAAAAAAATGAAGAGCATATGAATAACAGTTGCCGTCTGTATATTAAAATTTTCTGCAGAAAAAACTGCATATATACGCATTCATTGAAATTTGACCAAAAAAACAAAGAAAAATCTAATATCTTTACTAACAACTATTACTTAGATGGCATTTTTCACTTTCAAAAGATGGATTAAAAAAAAAAATTTGTCTTCTGTACACTCTGTCTCAACTAATCTATGTCAGTCTCCTTGAATATGATTTATTGCCCACTCAAACGAGAAATGAGGTCAAAGAAAGCATCTTCCCAGCAAGGAATTGTGAGACCACCCATTGGATGATCATACCCAAATTCTTCTTCAACTTGGCTTAGTAGTTCTTGAAATAAAGGTTGATTCAAGTATGAAACAGGAATCACAAACCGCTTCATTTTCTCTCCAACATACACTGCAAGATAACCTTTAGGGACTTCCACAGCCTTAGAAGCTGCTTTGGTTACAGCAAAAGACGACCTTCTAATACCAGGTAATCGGAAGCCCATTGTTTGAGTTGCAATGTGACAAGAACTAGTAATGAATACAAGGGTTTGTATACACAAAAAATCTTTGAATTCTTATTTTCTGTGACTTGTGTTGCTTAAGAATGTCATGACAAGTATATACAGATAAGTAGATATAACAATTCTCTAATGAATTGAATGATTGGTTGGCAATTGATGCTTGATGGGGCCTAATGACAGACAAGGTCCAATGAGATGTTGCATGGTACTGTCTATGGTACTATCTTCACGGTGTTGATCAAGGATTACTCGAGATTTGAGAATTCATGCCAACCTGGTTGCCCCTTCAAAAAGAGACTTTACAGCCAATAAACTAATAAATGCATATCCAATATGATGGCCTTTGATCTTATGTTCCATATAGGCTCACAACATATCATCACGTATATTCCGAGGGTCATGATATTTTCTGTTTTACTAAACAATCAGCACTAGAACATGGATTATTTATTAGTTGTTTCTTGGGCAGAAAATCATGGATTATTACTATTGTTGTATTGCCCCAACATTCACAACAATAGAAGAAGGAATTGCAAGTTTGGTGAACAGAAAATAAGAACTCAGATCTACACAGTTTCAATGAATAGTAAATAGATGTTCTATTATCATGCTTATTATTTCTCCCTTTCCAATTTATTTCTGTTTATTAAATTTACTTTGCATTTGGATCTCTGGATTCCTAGTCCAGCTGTATAAATATTTTGGAGTGATAATCTATTTATTTATTTATAATATAAAAGACATTGTCATGTCAGCAAAAATGTTGATATGTCATTTTATAATCTTTTCCTATTTCTAATATATATCTTCATTCATGTAAACTTAACCACAAATCCACTTTTGAAATCCTAGCTACAAATCTCCTTTCAAAAATATAGCATCTCTTGCGCCCACCAAATAGATTGAAAGCCCCATTATTGTGGTTGAGTGTAAACCTAACATATCGACTATATATGTTCATCCTCCTCTCCTCCATTGCCTCCTCCAAGGCAACACTAACATCCTCCTTTACCTTTGACCTTGTGGTCCATGCCAAGATCACGCTTAAGCTCGCTTACCCTTTGTCTATTCTCTTGTGTCGACATCCTCTTCATCATCACCACGACCTACTCACCATGCTCCGACAGTTGTTCTCTCACCACCTCTACTGTCCCTTGCCACCCCCTCACCCCTTTCATGCCCATTCTCTAAATCTATTAAAATGACTAATACCGATTAGTTGTTAATGTATTTTTTGACGTTAGCTATTTTTTGGGAAATCTATATTTTTATTCCTTTTGTTTTTTATTATTTATTTGGTTACAAATTAAAAACAGTAGTTGAATAATAATGATAATATGTATGGATTCTATAGTTAAATTATTTTTGTAGTGTATTTCAAATGTTGTAATTAGGGCATTCTCAAATCTTGATTATTATCGTAAATTATTAGTGAACTGTATGTAATTAGGATATTTTCAATTATGTTTGAGAATGTATTGTATTTAATATGATGATGATTTGATATATGTTTTTAGATTTGCATAATTTGTTAAAAATGATGCTAAAAATTATATAATGTGTCATCCTTTATCTCATTTTTCATCTCCATGTAATTAGTACATTATTCTTCCGACACAATGTGCACGTAGAAATTAAAATTAAAGGATCAAATGAATTATCATTATAATTATATCAAAACCTTCATAACGATGTCATATTTACAATTAGTGTTAATTATTAGTATTCACCCTATGAATTAAATATTAGATAGAGGAAAAAAATTAAGGGTTGTTTGATTTCATAAAAAAAACTTATTTTTAGTTTCTATTTTCATTTTCAAGTTTTAAAATTTAGAAAACAATTTAATTTCTCAATATCTAATTTTAGAAAATGAAAATATTCAAACATATTTGGTTTAACTATTTTCCAAGAAAATCATATAATATCTTTTAATAAAGTTTACAATTTTTAAAATAAATAATAATATATTTTCTTCATATATAATTGACTGTCAAAAAAGATAATATAAAATAATTGAAAAATACCAATATATATCATAATGAAAACGATTATAGATGGTCGTATCTCATATTCATATTATAATATTTATGATTCTGATTGTTATATATATATATA